AAAATTATATGTAATTAAATTTTAATTTTAAAAAAATTAATTAAAACTTATAAATTTATATTTTTAAATAAAATATTTTATCAAAAAAATTTATGAGAAGTATTGTGAAACAAAATCATAATCTTACTAACTTAAAGATTCAAGAGCATATAATAAAAAAATTTTAATTTTTTTAGATGCGCTAAATTTAGAGAGGACACCATTAAAGTGGTCGAGAGAGATCGAGGAATTGGTCAAAAAGAAATATGTAGTTGATTGTACATTCAATTTAAAACATAGACGGAGGATTTAAGGGGCATTGACCCCGAGCTAAGAAAAAATAATTTTTTTTTTGTTAACCACAGTTGTTAAAAACAAAATATTGTAACATGATGTGGCATAGTTAATTTCATTGGCTAATTTTATTTGGAGATGTATAAAATTAAACAATATAAACTCTTTCGGTGATGTCACATGGTTTTTGTGAAAATTTATTATTAATAAACGTTAATGAATTATTATTATGTAAGTATGTTGAGTTTCAATTAAAAATTATATCAAGTCAAGTAATTGAAAAGTTACATGACTCAAACAAAATTTCATTTGCACTCTTTTAACCTATGAGCCAAACTCGAGTTCGATCTTTGACCAAGTAAGCTTATCATTCTCAAACTTAACACTTAACTATAAGCTCATAAGTAATTTTTGAACGCAATTAGTGGACAAGACAAATTCAATAAAATTCGAACTTAATATAAGCCAATTTTGCATTCCCCTTGTGGCCCATTGGTAGCCACTACAACCTAACAGGGTTGCCAGTGAATTGCACTCTGACCAGTGATCAAATCTTATTAAGAATAAGATACTAACTTAACTAATTTTTAACTTCTAACCATTGCTCTTGTCAAATATATATATATAAGCCAAGTTTGAGCTTAAGGTACCTCAATATACTTACACAGTTTGACTCGTTTACAATGTTAATTAATCCCATGGCACAAAAGGAGAACAAAAACTGAGTTGGTTCATAGCAAGTAACCGAATTCCAAGGTCTGTATGTCAAGAACAAGTAAAAACATGTTTCATGTATATGGTTTTGTCTTCAATGTGGAAAATGTAGATTTATTTTTAGTAAAAGTGAAACAACGAACTCCTCCATGTGGTTCGGTGGATGGGTCACGCTACTCTACAAGTAACAAGTGGAGTTCGTTTGATTCGTAATTCAACTCTGATTCTGAACAGATACTAACTCACTAAATCAATATTTTCTTTGTAAAAAAAAATAAAATGAAACAACATCCACAAACAAATCGTTTGGATAAGGGACAAGGGTTTTTCAGAGATATTTCATCCATTGAAAAGATTATGGTGCATCATTAGCCACACCCTCTAACACCCAAGTTTTATTGGACTGAACTAAAACTCTAAAACTCTGAGACAGTCTCGCATTCTTTTGAAAGTTGAAGAAGGCGCAAAGGCATATTTAGTCATGAACACTGCATCCCCAATGGTCAGCCAACTCAAGTCCAGCTTCACTTCTTCCATCACAAGGGCACTCGTCTCAACCAAGGGACTCTCTGCTTCTCCACTTAGACTATTGCCTTCTAGGAGGCCCTCGTCCTTCACCATCAAGGTCATCCAACTTGAAAAGGTATGTACTTCAAACATATAATTCTTGATTTCATTGTTAGCTCCAAAGTGGTTTTTATTATAAATATTAATTAGTATACTTTTTAGTTTAATAAACTATATAATATACTGATTAAAATTATTATTTTTTATTATAAATATTAATTAGTATACTTTATAGTTTAATATACTATATAATATACTCATGCCAAAAAATAATCTTGGGGGGCGAAGTTCTATTTGAAATGTATATACAAAAAATGAATTTTTAACTTGTAATTTATAAAGAAGATTGAGATTTAAATATATAAAAATTAAAATTTTAAAGACCTTCAATATAGAAAAACTTGTTAAATTGTGTGTTTAAACTTCAATATGAAGACAACTTCTATTACAAAGTATTATTCAATATTATCCAGATAATAAAACTAAAAATTCTAAAGAATTGATAATATCAATTTTTAGTCAATTTTATTTTGTTGTTTGATATAAATAATTATTAACTATGTATATATTAAAATGACAAATATGTTAAATAAATAAAAATATTTTATTAAATTTTTTTTATTTATCAAGTTGTTAGTAATTCATCATAAGATCTATAAAAAAATAAAAATTAAAACACACTATTGTATTATTTTCAAAAACGGTTTATTTGATTTTTAAAAAAAATATAGAACCTATTTAATATTTTTTCAAAAGTGTAGGGGAGCAAGCGTCCCCCTTGCACCCATTGGCCCTGTCCCTGGTTATACATATAAGATGTTAGAATTAATTAAATTAGTCGCATTTATATTATATTTTAATAAATTAATTAAATAAATATTAAAAATATATATCAAATTAAAAAATATACTATCAACCAATTTTCCAAAATATAATCTTTATCAATTACGACACAGATGACCTCTGCTTTTACGAACCGTCACCATTTACGAGACAGTAAGGGTCAAATTTAGAAAGAAACCGACATCACAACAGTACGAACTAATAACGCGTGCCTGAGCTTTTTCAGTTTTCGTTCAGACAAAAAAAAAAAGTAATGCGTACCTGAGCTAGTTGACAAACCATTCTGACGCAAAAGTCGAAAGTGCAGAGCTACAGTGGAAAGATCATTGGGGATCTTTGAGGTAAGAAGGTTATTAAGGGCTTCTTTAATTTCTTCCTCAAAGTGGTAGGCGACTCCCAGCCGATGAATTGCATCGATCAGCGACAACAGGACGTGAGGGGTAGTGTCCTTGGTGGATTCAAGAAGGGTTTTAATGGCTTGCTTGAGCTGCTCTAGACGAG